TTGGTTGCTGAACAGTACTCCTTTCGTTTTTAGCCACATGTTAACGGATAACTATGGCTTTGTGCAACATCGAGTTATAATGGTGCAAGTTTCGAGAGTTGTTTGCCTACAAATCTGGTATTTTTTGGTTAGACCCGGTCAATTCACAGTCTACGGTCATCCATTCTTTTTTAATGTTTTCGTCAATTTTCGATGTCGATAATCTGCCTCTGCGCTTATTATCGCCCACAAACTCACGACCACTTCTGAAACGTTCGTGCCGCTGAGAAACCACAGTTTTCGAAACTCTTTTGTAACATTTTCAATATCTTCGCGTTGTTGAAACCATTTTTTTACACTAAATTCAATGCAAATCCTTTGTTGCTAATTTAATTCAATTTTTTAAATCATGCAAAATCGAGAACCCTCACAAGCCGAATATATTCAAGACGGCTTCACTTTTACCAATGTCAAGCCGTCGAGTTGAAAATTGTATAGAATGTCACTGGGCAATGTGGCAACCTAAAAAACAAAAAATAACTCAAATGGAGCGACTGAGACCGTCACACGCCAGTGATTCCGGGAGCTTTTCGATCAAGGTAGTATCTGACATGAGATAAAAAACTCCTTATAAAAATTCATCGGTCGTTCAGAAGTAGCTTAGAATAAATTGTAGGTCCCTACATTTGTTCGAAAAAACAGATGCGTATAATCAATTGAAGAAGTTGCTTGGCCGAAAATCGCTTCAGGGGTTACTATTAATAGAGTCTCGTCCGAAATGTCTTAATATTATCAAACAGTCTCTAACAAATCGGATTGAGAATGGTAATTAGGTTGTCATATTCTCATTCATAAAAATATGGACTTGAGTAACTGAATTTCCTAACAGAAATACGCTCTCCTGTAATAAGTATATAAGATTATTACAATACGTATAAATTACATTTTCGTATATTTTCTAAGTTGACTCGAATACACCGGTGTTGTGCAATATGACTTTTTTTGGCCTGGTCGACCTGTCAGCAACGAATATTATTCGAGTGTTGTGCATTAGAGAGTGAATTTCTTATTTATGGAAAAACCACTCACTACGATATTGCACGTCTCACACTCATGCATTGATTCTTCGTGAGATTTTCACCAAAAATTCAACTCATATTGTACCATAACCAGCGTATTCGACCGATCTGTCCCCGTATGACTTTTGGTTATTCAAGAAGCTGAAAAAAAAAAAAAATTCTGAGGAAATCGTTCACAGTCGGTTGAGAAAATCGAACGAGAATGACTGAAGGAAGTGAAAGTCATTACGGCGGATGCATATAAAAAATTGTTGGAGAAGTGGAAAATACTTTCCAACATCTTTCGCACTACTTTGCAGGCGATGGCATGGGTTTAGAAAGTTAAATAAATTTCCTTTTGTTTCCCAACTTTCTTTATGTTTATTAATGGATCTAAAAGCCTTTGTACGGTCTGTACACGCTTTAAATGAAATCGATTTTCCGAATAATTGAAGCGTAACAATTAGGTCAGTAGAACTGGGTGAAAGAATTTTTCATGAATATGTATGTACATATGTATGTGATTGGGATTTACAATGTGTTAAATTTGAGTAAATATACTATAATACAATTTATGTAAATATGTATATGAGTATGTATTATTTTATTATTAACTTTATTAGCAAATCACATACCGATACGCCCTACTCTATGTACATATGTGTGTGTGCAAACTGTTATTCCACAAACGACAAGACCTACCAAAACAAATATTAAAGCAATAGAATTGTGTTTATAGTTGGGGCAGTCGGTGAGAAGGGTGTCAGTGGTATAACTTGACAGTCTGCATCGTCTAGCTCTGCAGTATTTCCAACGCATTAATTGACACCTTTGAAAGTATTCCAATATTTATGCCTATTTACATACTAACAGACATAGCTGTGGTAGCTACATACATATATAGACACATATTTATCCAATATATATATAAGTGTATGTGATATATTGTATGTATGCCTTAACTATTGCACTTTCTAATATTTACCGTTAGTATGATTCTAAGCAATAGACTATATCCAGTGGCGGCGTGAAAATCCCAATAGAAAGGCGCGGGGGAATTCACTAAAAAAAATTGGTTCTACTGCTGCAGAGCTATAGAGAATTCGAATTTTTATGTACTAGGAAAGAAATATCTTAAAACTATAAACCATCTTCGAAAGTCTTCGATTGTTATGAGAAGCTCTGTGGACGCACTAACCGATTGGTAAACAATCATCTAAAAAATATACGAAAAAAAGTTGAAAATTTAATTTTTCTAAATGCATCAGGAAATGCTAAATTCACCCTTGCGGAGTAAGGGTTTAAAAATATTCCCGTGGTAAGGCATGCCTGTCCTAAGAAGCGATTAAAATCCCAAAGTTTTCCAGACAGTTGGGTTTTTATACCGAAAAAACGGACCGGATTTGTATCCGGCCAAGGAGTGTCACTCTCGCAACATTTTGCAAAAACTCTTTTAGAGTATATTTTTGCGGCTAAAACCTAAACAACAGGTGACATAACTTTTCAGGGCTTATAAACCGCAAAATATTTACATATTTATATATCTTTGTATGGTTCAGTAGTTTATGTGTGGCCTGGGTGCTCAATCACCTTCCAACCAAACAATAAACCTTTTTTATTTAGATTAGTTATGTCCATTTATTGTAAGCCACAGCGGCCGGGAAGATTAATCAAATCTAAAATTGAAAAACGGTATTTTAACCTAAAATCGACAAAATCTGAAATTCGCTCATATTTTCATTCCAAGAACGGCATTCTGTTTATAATTAATTAAAACCAGTGCTTATTATAGAATTTTATTAAAAAGATTTAAGGTGCTTAACCCGTGTGACAGCAAACAAATATGTGATTTTTGAAATTTTTTCATGAAAACTTCGACATTGAAGGGTATAATTGTTCCTAAATAAGGTATTTTTATATATTTTTTTCAATCGGAAATCTTGCATTTTCGACGAGATATACGATATCCCGTGGAGGTCCAAGCAACATGTTTCCATTTTGCTGCCATCCTACCTGCCTTTATACTACCTGAAATTAAAAAAGGTAAGAAAGCCCTTAAAGAGGACTGTTTGAACTATAAACTGATCCACGATTGTGGTAAAAGAATGAAACCCGAAAAGGTGTCGCCTTAAAAAAAAAAAGTTATAATTATAATAAAAACCTGTTGATATTTTCATTGTCAAATTTACAAAAAATTAAACCAATCGAAATATCCGAAAGTCACTTTATGCCTGGAAAAATGATGAGTACGATAAAAATAGTTTCAAGTCGATCGGATGATTAGTTCTTGAGTGACGATGGCTTACGATGAGAAAAACGCGTGTGAAAAAATAAAAATTCGCCTTAAACTTGCATGACTGATCTCACGGATTACTCCGAAACTATTACAGTTACGCACCTTTGGTCAAAATATGTTTTTTCGAAGAGTGTAAGAAAAAGGATTTTTGAAAATGTCACAAAAAACGTTGGTTTAGTTTAAGAGTCATGCCAGCATTAAAGGCTATGAAATCGAATTAATTATAGCAATTAATTAGATTGCTTCTGTCTGCATGATTTGGGGAAGAAAGTCCGGAAAAATTTGTAGGTCCTCTCATTGGTTGAAAAATCATCGAGAGGAGCGCATTCGCAAATCGTTTCAGCTGATATAGAGACGCTTTGAAAGTTCATTACCTCATATCCGTTGGATTTACTTAGCTCAGAATAAAGTCTGCCTGCGACTTCATCCGTATGGATTTTCAATATGGTTTTAATAAGATTTTTATTAGATTTTACGTAATTTATTTTCATCAAACTTATAAACTACAATATTATGTTAAAACGAATGAAAGAGAAAAAATCGAACAAATCGATTCATAAATATGACTTCTTCTGAGAGATTGGTGCCGGAAAAAGAACTCACCATTCTTTGACATAGGCAAAGATACATTTATGTGCCACAAATCAGGCAAAATCGGATCATCGAATCGATTTCAGTCTCAGCTCCCGGAGGAAGTGTTCCTATCGATAAATTAGTTAAAAAGCTACCTCTGTACCAAATTCCAGGTAAATTCAACTCAAAAATACAAATTTTTCGAAAAAATTGCCCTCACTTTTTGTAAGAACAAGTATTGACCCTATTAATTTAGGCCTATAGCCACCTCTGTCTTAACTTTTATGTAAAACAAACCAAATTTTCGAATAGATTGGTCTCAAGTCCACTTCACAGAAGAAAAAATTTCAAATTTCGTGAAAATCGAAAGGCTTAAAAATATATATTTTTTTTTTCAAATAGATCGGACACAGACCGACTTTAAGGAAAATCTCCTCTCCAAATTTCAAGTCATTGCGATCAGTGGTTTTGGCTGTCGGCTGATCCGTCAGTTATTTAGGCCAAGGCCCTTTCATATATAGATATACATATATTTATTAACAGTTTTTAACGATTAAAAATTTGATTCCAATTGACTTAACCCCTATTTTGTTCGAGCATATGGTTGTACCTATAAAAATACACACATATTTATATGCATAGTTATTTGTTTGCATAAAAAAGTTGTTGTGTCAATGCCATAATTAGCACCGCACACTATCGCGAACTCCAATAAAAACAAACTTACCGGCAGAAATGGTGTGATTTCAATGGCAAAATAGATTAGAACCACAGCACCGAGTGCTAAATGTTTACTTAAGAAGAAGATACAAATTCTACAATACATGACATAAAAATATATACAGACAACTTTGTTTATACGAGTGTGTATATATATGTATTATATATGCATTCATACAAGCAGATTCGCCCTATTCTACTTATTATCTACTACCTACAAACTTTTACTTACAAACTCATAAATGCATGTACGTACATACGTATGTATGTTTATATATATATATGTAAGTACATAAAAATGATTGTTAATCAAACATGCAGGTGTGTTAGAAATTTCACTTAGAATACCTTTCTTTGGTATAAAAACCAAAAATGTAAGATTTACACGATTAGTCGTCTGCAGACTTCCTCCTTGGTCGACTTAAGTTGTTTTCCAATCTTTTTGTTCTTTTTTATTTGTGTCTACTACTGCACTTGACTTGATTGATACTCAGTGAAGCATCCTTTCAGTATGTACGGTGCAAAGGAGTTTTATGCAGTGCTGCTGCTGACAACTATTCTGGGATTTCAATTTTGTGATTCAATTATTGTGAATAGAGCTACGCTGAACTCGGAAGAATGGACAAGCTATGTTGTGAGTGAAATGCAAAGAATGTGGTAAAGAAAGTAATGAACAGGATAAGCAATTAAAAAAAATTGATAATTTCAAAACACTATAATGTTCTTAAAAAAATACTAATAATTGATGAGAGGAAAGTTTACAGCCAAAGACTTTTTTTTAATTTTGAGGCTTACATTTTTTTCTCTTTCAAAGTATTTTACTGAAACTTTCTTTTCAGAAATTAACAAAAATTTCGAAGATCTTAAAATAAACTCTTATATAATGCAAGTTAACTATAACCAATGCATCGATCAACAAAGGAAGCAAAATATAATAATAAATAAATAAAATAAATAAATTGCTTTAACAAAAAGGGTGCTCATAAAGATGTAATTAGGAATACCAAACATGCAAATTATAATAATTTGAGAAAAAAAATATTATATAATAAATATATATATATATATATATACATACGTATGTATGACGGTTTATAACCGCTGAATCGATTTTTCAGTCGAGTTTTGAGTCTAGATGTTTTTTCAACGAATGGAGGGACCTACAGTTCTGTATGAGGAGTCTTTATTTCATACCCGAAATACACTCGGAGGGGTTGACATTCCCTGCCGAGGGGCGATCGCAATCGGAAACCTTACTTAATTTTTTATTTAAATTAATTTTCTTTTGCTTTTCGACATTGGTCGTACCACGATCCCAGTGCGACCAACATCCAAAATTTATAGAAAATTAATTTAAATAAAAAATTAAGTTAAATTTTCTAATGGCGGTCGCCCCTCGGCAGGGAATGCCCACACCTCCGAGTGTATTTCTGACATGAAAATCAAAAGCTCGTCATAAAAAAACCATCAGCCGTTCGGAGGCGGCTTAATACAAACTGTCTGTGCCTCTATTTGTTGGGAAAACATCAAGACGCAAAACCACGAATTGGAGTAGGAGCTCGTACGGAAAACATCTCACATGTTGTACAATTGCATGCGACAGAGCCCCTAGTCACTGTGCAAACATGAAGCCTTACTCCTTAATCTCTTAGGGTGTAATAAGCTTTTAACTAGGAAATTTGGATGGTTAGATAACCTCAATGAGAAATTTTAACGCAGATTTTCTACTTTTTTACGAGATCATTTTAAATTGCGGAGTTCTTTACCTACCAAGGAGCGGTGCATATTGCATTTCAGGCCTTAGATTGTAGCTTTTGAATTATAGCCTTACAGAATTTAGTTAATAAGCTCCAAAGTACATCCAAGACAGCTTTATAAGCACATTAAATGTAACACCTTTCAAGGCTTTGTTTTGTCTGAGTACAAATAATTCAATGCAAATACGTAATTTTCACTTTAATTTGAGCAATCTCTTGTGGGTTTTCCAGGTGGAACTTTCATCCAAAGTTACTCCCAAATATGTAATGAAGTCTTTCTGGTTAATGTAATGCATATACCGAGATTGTAATCCAAGTGGCTTATTTTTAGGGCGACTGTCTCTTTAATTATCCAAATAGTTAGCTATTTTTCTATTATTTTTAAATATTGTTGTAATCTCTAAGTAGCTGCAATGGGCTCATTAAGTGTTGCCGCTTCATCAGCAAAAACTTATGTGATGAGGTTTCGACTTGTGGGAAGATCACTTCCTTGTGGGACAAGAGCAAATATTTCATATGATTCAGTAGTATAACTCTTTTGCCTAAGAAGAAATTTTCTGTGAATAATAAAGCTTTTTATTAGAGCGGAAGCCAAACTTTATCAACTTTAGTGCAATATTGCTTGTTTTTAAGCGCTGATCTTATGTGTTGTACCATTTTTATGCACCTGCTCTTTAAAGCCGAGTCGATGGCATGATATGATCTGTTTCCATACTAAAATCGGTTTTGATTTTTTCAAAATAAAAGTTTATCGAAGATTTTCGAGATCGTGAATAAGCTAATGGGACTGTGAGAATCTACCAAAGTCGAATTGTTTTTACCAGTTTTAGAGCTTCCACGCCTTAGGAAAACAGCGCAATCTTAATGTGCTATTAAAGATATAAAACATTTGTTTAGTTACCATGACTGGAAGCTCTTTTATCATATCATCCCTTATACTGTCATATCGAGGAGATTTTTTTTTCTTTATGCCACTGGTAATAAATGTTCTAAATGATATAAAATCGAATTGTATAAAATTTTCATCAAGATCTTCATCAAATTCCGGAAGAGAGTCGGCACCAAGATTAGGCGGAAATACATTGGGAAGACTAGTGGCCAATGAAATAATGAAATACCCTCTTCCTGGTGGCCTCGAGCCCACTCACTATTTTGAGTTCTCAGTGGAGGGTCGCAAACGACTGGACTTTTAAAACTGTACGCCACAAAGAGTAATTAGTACCAGAAGTTCAGCTGACAGGGTTTATAGCGACTTTTGAAATTCAATTTACTGAGACCATGTTTTAAGGTCGCAGAATGAGAGAAGAAGTAGGTTTTGATTTCGAAATAAAAATCTTGCATCATACCCTGGATCAATGTTATACTCGTATGGTCTTGTATAATACGCATAAAGTTGTTTAGCATTTTTCAAATGAGTTCACGGACAAGACGGACGTTCCTTGTGGGGCTGCGGTAAGAATTTTAAAGCTTGGGCGTAAGACACAAGGTTGCCTACAAGTAGGCGTTTGTCAAGTTTAAGAAACAAATATATTATTAGAAATTCTTTTTACCGCCCTGCCTTTTAGGCATATATATATATATATATATATATATATTGGACTTGCAATAGCCAAATCGTTGACAATTCTGATACTGGACAGAACCCATGAGTTTATATGGATGGTGACGAAGATAGCGCAGTTTGTAAATGTGATGAGCTTCTGCATTTTTTAAGAGCTGAAAATGTGACTCAATAACAACCCTAAAAAATTGGCTGGGATATGTTTGGGGTTACGACTCGTTGCAATGTGGGCGACAGAGACTACATTTTGAAATCTTATGAGCGCATTTTGTCTTAAATTGAAGCCAATGCACGTTAATGGGCTTGAAGTCTTAAATTTAAGCTGTAAATAAACACAATATTTTGTACATCCGGTGAGCTTGCTAATGGGACTACTTTTCCTTGAAAGGCTTTTTAACAGGATTTTTACCTATATCATCAGTTCGATTTGTTTGGTGGAGAACAAAAAAAAACGGTTACAAGCATTACAGCCGAGTTAATTAAGCATCAATTCACGGTAATAATTAGTAAATAGTTTTACTAGTTGAAAAATATATTTTAAATTTTTTGATCTCAATCAAATCAATCAATTAATTTTTAGATTTCAAGGCTAGTATTTTTTGGTAGACTTTAAAACAGTTATTTCTCCACTAGAGAAGTCGCCATCAAGTCGCCCTTGAACGATTCTTTAAACTATTGGTGAATTTCAATGCAAAAATATACATACTAGGATTTTACCGTACTCAGTGTCATAAAACTTTTGGAGGAAGAAGATTGTATATATAAACGTATACGTTTGGATATTGATCGTACCATTATGTGAACCCTGGCCTCCCGAACGGCCGTACTCAATACTAACCAATCGGCTACCGTGGCCGCTATAATTATTGAAACTAACCGCAGAAATGCTGGAATAGTAGGTATGTAGGGTAGTGGTTATCTGACGGGGTCCCAAGGCCTATAGGAAGCCTATTTCGATACCACTGGGACTGAAATTCTCTTCAAGCACCTACCTATATACTCTCTGGACCGTGTTGTGGTCCTGCGAACTTAGTTGCGAGTCTTTATCCATACAAAACTTTGAACACACAAAGAAGTTGCTCTTCTATCTACTGGCATATATGCCAATAAGACAGTTATCTGTAAGCACTCAAACTAGAGTTCTTAAGTCATTACTTTTAAATTTTAATTGTGCGCGTGCATGACCCATTTGCCATTCTTCCACTTGTTTGCTTTGTTGTGCAAGTTAGGGAATGCTTTTACCGAGTTTCAGCTTTACCTAATAACATGTTTTTCAATTTCGTTCCCTCTTTATCTGAATCTAATTGTAAAGTGCTGCCTGAACTAGCTAGTTCGTCATAGTTATCTAGAATATCTCTGGAACCTCACAGCTCTACTATGAAACAAAGGACATTCTCTCACTAACAGTGATGAGATCCTCCCGTATAGATAGTTAAGTTTGTATTTTTGTTTACCTCCCCTCTATGCCACTCCTAATTGCCATGGAAAGCCGATGAGAGGCCTCAATAAGGTCGCACCATACTTTTGCAGGTATAGTGAGCTATAGCAGCCTTCTCTACCCGATCTTCTAAGTTCGGTTTACCTGAGAGCTTCCTGTCCAAAGTTAGTTTGTTTTCTCTCCTACATTTATTAATGGTCTTGTGACCAAAACTAGCGCAGTTCCGCTAGAATTTAAATTTAGACCACAAAATTCGGTCGATCGCACTAGTTTAGTCAGCTTAGATCACTACATGTACCCCTTACCTTTCTACATCCAGCAACATTTTATTAATTGTTAAGGCACTATTTCTTCTTCCATTTCCAGAGCACCTATGGCAAAACCTACGTTAATGGTCCAGTTCCAGAAGCGTATGCATTGTATTATTACAACTACAATAAGAAATTAATCACAGCTCATAATGTAAAAGCCGATCGATACCCCGATAAAATTACCTATCGCTTGGGCATCAATCAATTCACCGACATGCGTCTCATACATTTCAACGCCTTATTCCCCAAAACCACCCCACCAACAACAGCGCCGTCAGCGACAACGGCGCCACAGGTACAAGATGCATCGCCATCATTTGATTTTATAACGGATCTTTTGTTGACAATAACAGCCGAAAATCAAGGTACAGTTTGTAACAGCGGTTGGGCTTACGCTACGGCCAAGGCTGTTGAAATACGCGAAGCAATTGAAACTGGCATCACAACAAGACTTTCTGCCCAGAATCTAATTGACTGCGCTGGCTCGGGTACTGGTTGCACCAGGCAAGTTGCACAAACCGCTTTCGAATATCTTGTTGGAAATCAACGGCCTTTGTATAGCGAGACGGATTACCCAAATACACCACTACTGAGTACACAAGGTATGTGTTTAACCCCCACCGCAGCCACAGCAACATCAGTGACACTGGCATCATATTCGCGTATTGATAACCCCACTGATGATACGATTATGAAATATGTTTCTGCTGAATTTCCGGTTGTCATCCTATATGATCCGACTTCTTTCGATTTTATGCATTACAAGTCGGGTATTTTCCAACAACCACACACCTACGGTGGTTCACACTATATGGTAGTGGTGGGTTATGGTACGGATGCTACTCTAAACCTGGACTATTGGTTGGTGTTGAACTCATTCGGTACAACTTGGGGTGAAAATGGTTTCATACGCATAAAACGCGAGACAACCAAACCACTGACCACGCTTGCACTATTCCCTACTGCATTTTCACCATAAGTAATAAGAGACGAAAGTTGAGTGGTATTTTATGTAATGAAGACAATAATTTTTCACATATTTTTTTTATTGAATAAACAAATAGATTTATTTTTTAAATTTATTACTTAAATTTATTTTTATTTGAATGGAATTTCATATGGAATTAAATAGCTATGGTATTGAGGTAAGCAAGGACAAAATAATTATATCTTTTTCTTTATTAGCGTAGGCATCGCTTATAGCCGAATCAATTCTTCTGTAAAACAAATTCGTTCTCCACATAATCGAAACTTGCTGTTGCGTTGTGATAAGACGATCATCCACCGGAATCAATGCCCACCACAAATTCGACACCGAGTTTGCACTCCTTTATTTTACCGCTGTAGTATATTTCACAAGGACCCACCTTATTCCGTTCCTGTCCCAACTACCACACTTCTTTGATAGCGGTAATGTCCAGGACATCAACTAGCTAGGCAGCAGCACTTTCTCAATCAAAGGATCGGTCATTATATATGCAACCAATCGCAATTCGCCTTCGCACTTTAATCGTCTTCAAACGGATGTCTTTGGACCACCCAGAACAGTGAGCTGCTTGAACCATATCCGAATAAGAAAGCCTGCGAGACACAAGTCCTTGGGAATACATGTGTTTAATTATCTTACGCTCGAAAGAACTATTCATTAAAAAAATTCAAAGGTATTAAAAGTACAGGAACTATTCTGGTACATTTCCTACTAAGTAGGTCTTGAGAAATGCTGGTGGTAATGCTTACAATTCTGCCAAAATACTTCACCATCTTGAAGGTTTTGGCCCAATGTTAGCTAGCTGTGCTTGTTTTCCTCAACTTTTCTTACTTTAAATACTAGTATGACCAAATAAGACCTTCGAACCTGTCAGCATTGGTATATTTCGATCAAAACGGCAATGGTGGCAGCAGTATCTTATGTCAACGCACAGGCAAAGAGAGCATAGATCTATTAGAAACTTTGCAGTGCTTCAAATGCTGGAAGCTGGTCTCTTTTTAAACGTTCTATTCAGCTTTGACTATTCTCACGCCAGTTAGAATTAGGCTATCACCTCGAAGGAGCTCTGTTGTTGCTCAAAATAAGCTTACACAGTCGTTCAGGTTTTACCGGGATACCAAAAGCAGATATAGCTCCGTAGAGTCATCTCCTTTTGTTGCTATCGAAATCCGCTTTAAAATCGGCGAAGAAGTGATGTGTGTCCATATTTTTTTCATAGGTGTTTTCTTTTCTAAGATAGTAAATATGAGTACAATATTAATCATTACCCCAGTTTTGTGTTCCAAAGAGGAATAATAGATAATAAATAGAAGCGTAAAAAATATTGAATATAATATCTTGTTTGGACCAACATCAAAAACGTTTGGAAAACGAATTTTGTTGACTGTGGGATCAAGGTTATGCGCGCCAACGTCTAAAGTTTCACTGTTATATCTGTGAGGTTTTGTTTACACTTGTATTAGGTGACCAAAAAGAAAATGGTAAGTTACTACTTTGAACAATTAATTTGAATAAACTTTAAACCAAAACCGATTTTACAGAATTTCGATAAGAAAAAGAGAATAATAAAAGCGTTGGACTTAAGTGTTCGATCCAGAATCGTTGATAGCAATTACTCAAATTTCTAAATATTAGTAATGAAACGCCACTTATTTGCAAGTTATCAGGTGTACAACTTTGCTTCCGCCGTTTTCCGATAGGTGGCTGTACCGGCTGAGGCTGGTTGAAATACATAGATGATAATGCCTTTAAAGTGAGTGTGGACAGGGCCTAACGAATTGTCATCGCCGTTTCAGTGACAGTTGTTTTTGTTTTCGTATTATTCACGCTTGAAAATGTCCGTTTATGTGCTTAATTCTTGCCATTTGCGGAAAGTTTAATTTTTCTGTTACAATTCGAAAAAATGCAGCTGAAGCGCATCGAATGCTCTCAGAAACTTACGGTGATGCTGCTCTGAGTGAAAGAACGTGTCGGGAGTGGTTTCAACGAATATTCACGTCGCCAAGGTTATGATTTGTATTTGGTGGGATCAGCTCGGTGTGATTTACTACGAGCTCTTAAAACCGCGTGAAACCTTCACAGGAGATCGCTACCGAATGCAACTGATGCGCCTTAGTCGCGCGCTAAAAGAAAAGCGGCCACAATGTCAAAGGCGACATGACAAAGTCATCCTCCAACATAACAATGCTCGGCCTCACGTCGCAAAAGAGGTCAAAAAGTACCTGGAAACGCTGAATTGGGAAGTCTTGCCCCACCCGCCGTATTCCCCAGATGTCGCCCCTTCTGACTTCCACCTATTCTGTTCGATGGCACACGGCCTGGCAGATCAACATTTTCAATCCTTCGAAGAATTGGAGAAATGGATTGCTTCATGGATAGCAACAAACTCCTTTTTTCGAGCCGGGAACCGATAATTGCTGGAAAGATGGGAGAAAATTGTCGCTAGCGAAGGACAATACTTTGAATAATATATCTAAAAGCACTTTTTCGCAATAAAGCTTTTAATTTTGGAAAAAAAACGGCGGAAGCAAAGTTGTACACCTGATATAAAAAAGATCGCAGATTTAATTATCAGAAAAATGTCTGTATAATTTGATAATCGGACTTGGATTGCCAATACTTATACAATCGTGTTGAAAAGAAGTTATCGCTCCCGAACCGAATTCAATCTTTTTGGGAATTGAATTTTTCACGCGTATGGCAATGACTTCTTTCAGGACAATTTTATTTTGGACCGAAGCTCATTTCGGCAGCTGTGTTATATTTTAGTTTTGTTGATGTGAGAGTCATTAGAGATTTATTACTATTTTCATTAAAAAAAATTGAGTTTTATTAATAACAACATACAACTAAACATTCGAACCAATAAAGTTAATATTACTAATTATAGCAAATAAAGATTCGCTTCATGCCCTTTATATTTGCTATGATATTCTTTCCCGTTACAAAAACCGAACATTTTGGGATTGTAATCAGATCTTCGAGCTTAGGTCCGTTTTAACCATCTCCGGTTAAGCACTTAATCATAACTTAAGCAGAATGAAGCATAAATTTCGTTTTCACAATGTTCGGTTAAGACTCATTTGTCAATTAAGCTGTGGTACCGATTAACTCTTAATCAGAAGCTAATTTGGCAGCTGCAAATAGTTAGGTAATAAATAAAATTGTATTCCGGTGTTAATTTTAAAATAAATTTATGTATATAACCGCTGAAACGGCTTTTCGGCGATTGAATGTGCTGATCTTTCCGAAGTTCAGCGTTTTCTAAAACATCGTACGTCACTGTTCTGCACACCGAAGCTTTGTAAAATTATACAATGCCCATCAAAAATAGAAAATTAGATTAGCCCGTTTAGGGCTGTAAATCAATATTATTTTTCTTAACTATGCTATTCAGTGTCGGTAACTATAAAAGGTAAAGTATTTGTTTCTATCTTAAAATATTATTCAATTTATTTGCGCTTTTAACTTGAATTTATAAAAAAATCTCAATGCTTTCATGGAAGTCATTCGAAGATACTCTTCGCATTGAGCATCGATAGATAGAAAAATGTTCGATCGTCAATATCGCTCGGTTCCTAAAAACAGATCGACCAATGAAAGGGCAAATAAAGAGTTTCGACTCCCAAAAACCGCTGCTAACGACCTTTGAGTTAGCTGTCAGTTCTTTTCGCCTATTCAATTCGAATAGATTTATATAAGTACAGATGAACTTTCGAGTAGAGGCCTAAAGAATTAGAATGAGTGCAACGTGAGTTTTCAAATGGTTTTCATCTATTTAAAACTGTTTGTCGATGTGTTTTCACTTGATGGTTTCAAAATGGCGAAAATAAAAGTTTTAGTGCGAAAATAACTTTTTGGTGCGAAAACATGTTTGCGATGTCGGTCCGCACAAAGTATAAAGGGATGATTTATTTTCGGTCTATATTGTGCTATATTTTGCTAAACTACAATATAAAAGTTTATATGAATGTAGTGTATATATTTTAAGTATTTATTTGATCACCACTGACGAAATGATAGAAAAGCGGATGCACATTTCCCTTGTTTTTGTATTTAATTTATTTATTGATTTCTTCTACAAGCGGAGCTTTACAGACTTATTGACTAAAAAATAACACTTTCTTCAGAATGTCTTAACAAAATATTGATAAACTTATTAACAACATTATTTTCGCCATAATTTTTATTTAAGTAATCTCTTCCGCTATTTTCCACATGAGAATTATATGCTTTATTCAAAAAGTTTTATGTGCAGAATTTGCATTTTTTTTTGTTTGTTATTACATATTTTTCTTTGTTTATATTTTTGGAGTTAAACAATTAGAGTATTACTATGCATGTGTTGCTTCTTGCATTGCTCAAAAAGACATGTTAGCAGCAAAAGTGGGACTGATTTGAATTTAAAATATTATCAATTTAATTAATAGAATTTCATTTTATACATAAAAACAAGAGGGTTAGTCGTTAAAAACATACTAATATACAGAAAACTACAGTATCTACATAACAAAATGGGATTTATTTATTTATGTTAGCGCTCATTTAACATTTATGGATATTGTTATTATTTAATAACAGTTTGATTTTGGCAGCCTTTGTTACTGACTATTTTTGTTGGTTAGAACAAGACAAGTTTTGCTGCATACTGCTAGATTTCAAATAATTTTTAACAAAAAAAAATACAACTTTTCTTCGAACGAGCCTCCTGTGTTCAAAATACTGAATTGTTTTGTTTTTTTTTTTCAATTTAATTAGTATGTTAACTTAAACACTACAATTAAAGTTTATAAATAAGGTTTAAAAGTAATTATTTTCAATAAATTATATATATGTATATTTTTATTTTGTTATAATAACTCTTATTTGTTTTGTTAGAAGCAAAAGCTTGTGATATGCTGCTTGCTACTTGAAAAACACGTACACATTATGTGAAACACAAATTCTCACTTGCTTCTTATTGAACATATGTTGGAAAAACACAAATATTTTAATTAGTGAACTAAAATATACATACATACATATGCATGTATATTATTTTCTATGAAACAATCAGTAATATTGCTGCACCAACTCGTTTTAGATGTGCTTATCAGACGCGATTTACATAAATACTTATGCACATAGATCTGTCACAATAAATATTATTAACTCTTTTAAATAGTAGTTTATTGCTTTTAACTTTTAGGCAGTTATAGGTTTGAAAATCTATAAGAATAGCTGCAAAATTTCCTACCATTTATCAAATATTTATATTTTTTTTTGAGTACGTTTTCCTCTACATAATTCTTTTTATTTATCCACGCTATATGTATAACCGACATACACAATTACTTGAGTGTGTATTTGCTATTAAATTAATTAATTTTGCATAATAATTATAAATTAGGCGTTTGATATGCACATCCCTTGCCAGCACAATATTACAACACGAATGAATGTCGAAAGAAGTGAATTTTAAATGAAAGCATGTGTCAATGCCCATTAAACATATCCGAATGCCGCATAATCGTGATGACGTTTGTTACACGAACGTTTGTTTACATTTCACTTACACCACAGGGCGTCAGCACAGCTGTGCACATTTATGATCGTAGAATTTTTTTTTCTTTGTAAAATTTTCCTGTTTTTACTAATTATTAAATATTATGAATACATATTTATTGTTATTGTATGCGTGCTTTTTGTTGGATTAAATTGTTTTTGTGTAGTAAGATGTTCATAATACATACATACATATATGGCTGCAAGTTAGTGGGTGAGAACTTAAGAAACATGTAAGAATATAATGCTTACGGGCATTCAGAACATTGGGACATACATACGTTTAGCTTTGCAACAACTTTACGCTGCACGTAAAAAGTACTACAATGTTTCCCGCTGTTATTTACTAACGCAATCAATTTATTTGATTTTTTTAGTTTTTCTTTTTAAGAAATAAATTTATAATATTTTATCTAAATTTTGTGAAGAATTCAATTAATGGCACTCCATAAGAGTTTGTAATAGTTTGTATTGACCATTCCAAACTCTTCAGCTTTAGTGCTAAATTAGCCACACCACAGCACACTTTCAATTAGTCAATGATTTTTTTATTTACTTATTTCTTTTTCTATTCCATATTTAAATAATTATATTTTATGCTTCATAATTTCTTATATATTTTTGCTTTTTGCTTAATATTTGCTTTTATTTTCATACTTAATTAAATATATTGTTTGTTTTCTTTTTTTGCTTTTGGTTTACTTAACTAATTTTTATTTATTTTTTCTTTGTTTGTCGGCTAGTGTTTGTTGTTTCTTGATGTTGTTTTCGGTTTTACTTTTTTCTTGTTTTGCTTTTATTATCATTTCGTTCATTGATTTAAATTTATTTTAATCTTTAAAATTAGTTATATATCTACATGAATTTCAAATTTATTAAATATATTAATTTGGTATTTAGTATTTAGTATTTTGTTTTACACTTTCATGTGTTTTTACTGCTTGTTTTCATTTTGTGTGTGTGTATGTGTGTGTATGTGTGTGTGTAAGTATGTAAGTATTCAGTATAATTTCAATTTGCTCTTTGGTTTATTCTGTATTTTTAGAGTAGAATTAATTATGAAATTAAAAATACTTCGGTTTGCTGGTAATTTTCAATACCAACAAATGCATTTGCACATATACATACATATAGTTTGTATACATATACATTACTGTATGTATCATGGGGTTGAATAATTTTTTATTTAGATATTGCAAATTGTTTTATACTCAAAAAAATCATATTTTGAGTTATTCTACTTTGTTTTCTTTTTTTATTTAGCTCTTTGTATTAATTCATGCATTATTGTGTTTAATGTATATATGTATGGGTTTATGTTTGTTAACAATATGTAGTTTAGCTGAATTCATGAGTATTCGACAATATTTCCATTAATTCAATGTGTCTAATTCAAGTAAGTTGTACGAGTATGTGTTTAATATGCACTGGAACGCGTGAGTTATGTGAATATGTGTGTGTGTTTAGAGGCGTGTTTGGTAGCTCAAATGTTCATAAAAAGATTGCTTTTTAGTAAAGTGTTTTCTTTTGCTTCTGCTTGTGTTTATACGTGTATGTGTGTGATTGTATATATAAATAATTTAATGCAATTATTGCATTTTAATTTTCACAAGCCCAATTCAACTGTAGATATTTTATAATATTATTTTTGTAATTCAAATTATACGCATACACACGTAGAAATATGTATAAGTTGAAAAAAAATTACTTTAATTTGTAAATATGAGTGTTTTGAATAACTGTTTAACAAGTCGAAAAATATTAAAATTCCTTTTTGAATTAAAAACGAAATAGATTACTTGAAAAGTTAAGAATTTTTAAATTACATTACATAACTTTTAAGAATTTAATGTACACTTATTTTTTGCCAAAATATGGCAGCATTGCCTCGAACCAAATTTCTTATATATTGGTATAATTATGAGTATAAAAATCACAGTGATTGAAAATTTGTTTGAAAGTGAAGAATAATGACGATTTTATCACACATCTGTTTTAAAGCCATTAAATAACGGTAACATTTAGGATTAACATTAGTAAACAAATTTCCCAAAGGCTTGGAATTCATACGATTATTTCTACATAATAAATTCGCTAAGAGAAACAACAATAAAAATAATTATACTTTCAAATATATACAAACTTTAAGCACAAATTCGCAAAATATAATGGAATTTAAACATTTCGTTTAACACAGTAAGTTTTGTACAAAAAAGACCGTTATTACATAATTCTGTTAGGAAAATGAATCCATATTGAATAAGTGCAAATATATTTATATTTATTTTTATATAAAGAAAAGCGTATATATGTATGTAATATGCAAAGAAAAAAAATTTAATAATTGTCAAACATCGCTCTTGGTGGAAATGCGTATGAAATTTAATATATTATAAGTATATAATAAATAATTAATAATTAATTTTTAGCTATTAATATGCTATGAAATGATATACATACATATACATATTATACTAAAATATCACTAATCTATAATTAATGTAATACATACATATGTATGTATGTGTATTGTAAAGGCATTGCTTTTGAAGTGCTCATTGGTTGCTATAGAAAAATTTTGGTCCGTACAAGGTTACCAGCAAAAAGAAAAAAACAAATAAAATTGAATATAATAAAAATATTTATTGCTGTTTTTGTGAATATATGAATGCAAGTGTGTGTTACAATATGTATTCACAAGTGCATATGTTGCTTTGCATTATTATGTATTTTTCTTCTTCTTTTTTAATGTTTTAATGAAATACATACATACGTATGTAATTATTATAGGAAGAATTTGAAATTTTTAGTTCTATTAGAAAATTTCTTATTCTTTCAATTAATTTTGAGTTTAGTTGTAAGTGAGTATGTGTAAATTTCGATGAGTTCATTGTTTTCCTAATATTATATGCGCAGCGATGTTGTTTTCCATGTTTTAACTATTTTTAATTAGACATATTTTTATTATTATTTAATTAGTTTGTTGTTTTATTTTTATTTTTATGGAAATTATTTCGGGGTTTATGAAAACTTCCATTATTATATGCAATATAATTATGTATGTATATTTTTTGCTTGCTTTTATACTCTTCTTCTTTTTCATTTAATTTTATTTTATATTTATTTTTGTATAATTTTGTGGACAAAATATGTGGTTTTATGCATGTAGATTTAGTATATGTACGCATTGTATTTGATGCTTGGTATTTTGTATGTAGGTATATTATTTATGTAAGAATTGATGTTGCAATGTTTTTTTTTTTTTTTTTGAATGTAAGCTAATATCCAAATATATATAGAACTGTATGTATGCTTGTCTCTTCCCCTTTACGTTATAGAACCTTCTTAATGTTTGTGTGTATGTTCGTAAAATAATTTTAGTTTGCTTTTATGCGTTGTATTAGCGATGATCTTGTATTTCATTACGTTATTTGTTTTTTTCGGCAAATTTATTTCAAATTTTTCTTAAGATTTTTTTAATATTTTACAAAATTCCTATGCGCAGTGCCGCCTACATTTTGCATTCTCCACTCGTTACTCAACACTCGTTACTCTATCCAATGCATTCTGGCCACTCACAGTCAGCAGCGAATTAGTTATGTAAACAAATATCAGCTGTTAAAATAAATCCAACCATTTCACAAGATAAATTAGAATTTTAATTTCAATTTTTAGTTTCGTTCTTAATTGCAATTTAATGGTATTATCAATTATCATAGACACTGATAGCAGAGCTGCGCCAGCATCAGTGAAATAAAACGTGCTTTTTTTTACATTTTCTGTTAATGAAAATTGCCAATAACTGCTTGAAATATTTTTAATTGTGTGTGTAAATGTGCAGATGTATGGCTTGCGCAAATTAATATTATTTGCATAAACTTAGCAAATGATGGCAGCTCGATAATTTCGTGGTTATGGAGTTGTTTATAAGTTATGAATTTTATGCGTACATACATACATATACATACATATATGTACGTACATATTTCTGCGTTATTTAATACACATATTAAAACCACAATGCATTCTTATTTAAGTGCTCCTTGACGTTTATGTAACGAGAAGTTTGCTTGCTGTGACGAAAGTTTAGTTGAAAAGGGCATACATTTATTTCTTTTCTTTCAGCTCTTTTATAATTTTTTAAGCCTTCACAATACCGGCGCTCACACAAGAAGTTCTTGAAAATCTTCAAATACATACATATATATATGTTAAATTCAAAACTATAGTTCACACATACACGAATATACGTATGTACATACATATATACAACGTGAAAATATTACTAAAATTTTATGTTTTATTCTAAACGCAAGACATGTTACGACGGCAGTTGTTTTTGTTTTCCTTGTATGGTATTTTTTTTGTCTGTTAAAGTTTTTGCTTAATAGCTTACAATATTACTCGTACATACATATATATATATATATATATATATACATATATATATATATTTATGTATACGCATGTTTAACATCAACTACATGCACACGCACATAATTTTACAAGTACATTTAGCACAGTGCGCTGTCTAGGCTGCAGCCATCCTGGCATAGTCAGTAAAATTAATTTATGAATATTTAAATTAATAAAAGTTATAATAAGTTGCTTGTTATTTGATTACCTGATTACTTAACAGATAAATTACTCCCAATAATTTGGAATCGCATGTAATCGCATTACCAACATTTGAACGAAACAAATAAAATTGTGTGGCATATTTTTAGGCGTTACGCATAATTTTTGTAATACTGACAGAATGTGGTTATCTACTCTCTAGCCAAATGCGTTGAACTGTGCTACATTCAAATAATCGGTTTGTTGTGTTACCGTTAATTTGCATGGAATTTTGAAGTTGAATGATTTTGCTTCTAGCTCACGTTTAAATTAACATATGGAGGACACAGTTAATTCCAAATCAAATCTCCATTATTCGCCAACTTAACTTAACTAAATTTCGCATAGCAAGGAAAACTGCATACCTTGCTCAAATTATACAGTTATGCAACAAATTCGTATACAGCTGGACTATTCTTCAACATAGGTATTTATTCGCCATCTCTCTATTCGTCTCCATCCTTCTGCGCCTGTTGGTTTAACGCTTCTATTTTATTTTCTTTTACAATTTTCATATATATTTTATTTTACATACCTTTATTTGTATTGTTTGTTGTTGCTTTTTTTCTGTTTTTGGTTTTTCTGTTTACTTTTATTTTTCCAATATCTGTTTATGCATTTGTGTGGGGTATGATTGCTTGTTTGTATGTATGTAAGTTTTGTTGATTTTTAATGACTACACTCAAAACTCAAACCGGGGAAACACAAAGATTTCTCGACTTAATTTCCGTTATACACATACATACACACTTACGTATGTACGCATGTACGCACATATATACATACTTATTTTTATATATTATATATATATGCATGTAGGCTTGCTTTTCTATATATTTTTTGTTGCATTTATGAATTTTGCACAGCACCAATAGTATTGATATTGAAATGACTCGAAACTGTAGCCATCCATACGAAGAACGCAGCTAATGTATAGGGTAATGCCGATATTATGGGATGATTGTTGCTCTGGTACAATGTGGAGGCGGCGTGGTTGCACAATTCACCAGTGCACGCACAATAGATGGCTTGCACATCGTGAGTGCCGGAGCGTTTCAAGCACAAACCATCATCGGACTTATCGGTTATGTAGCCACAACCGCGTACTACGCGTACTTTACCATAAACTGTAAGGGAGTAGAATTTCATTAAGGATAACAGTTTGTGGAATATAAAAGAATTCTCTCCAATACAACTCTTCATGTCACTGTACATACCCTTTTGTGTGGTTTTACGGCACAACACTGGTTGAGTGTATTTATCCTTGAGATGCTCCTTAACCTCTTGTTGAGTGCAATTGACTTTGCCAAGCGTGTATGGCTCAAATGGATCACCACAATTGGGATCATAGGCGCTGTTGCAGTCGTAGCACATCAGCGCAGTGGTTGCTATAAAGGAAAGGAAGGGAAGGAGGAAGATTTATTATTATTTTAAATGATATAAAACCATACAATAAATATATTCGTATATGATTAGCAAGCTACTTGGCTGACCACTGATCTAAAATACACAAAATTATATAGATCATGTTATGATAGATGGAAGAGGTTTGTCCAGTGTTCTTGACATGCGTACACTCCGCGAACCCAAAATCGACTCGGACCACTTTCTTGTTGCAGCGAAGATACGTGCACCAGAAAAGTTCGACGTCGAGAAGCTGCAACTATCACAGACTTCCAAACGGTTTCCTACTCCACTTGCACTCCACAACTGGTATGCTAAGGATTACTGTATAGTAGAGGAGAGAAAGCAGGTCGCCTACCTCTCAACCTTCCGATCGACTACGACGCGTGCGGGGTGCGATATATACCGAGAACTGAAGAGGGAAACAAAGCGCATTTACAGACATGAAAAGAAAGAGGTCAAGATGCGTAAGTATGCAGAGCTTGTCGACAAAGGTAAAGCTTATTATTTTACGAAAAGATACGACAACTTACAGACCGGAGCAGACTCTTATAGGACACAAAGAGGTGATCTAGTAAATGACGCCCGGAATGTATTAAACTTCTAGAGAGAACACTTCTCCATATTGCAAAATGACTGAGAAAGTGCAACACCATGCGATGGTGAACCCGATTCCTCAGTCGATGACACCCGAACACCTATTTCATTGGCCCACTATGAAAATGTTCAAATAGCGATCTCCCGTTTGAAAAATAATAAAGCGGTGGGACCCATGGTCTACCGGCCGAGCTATTCAAATACGATGGTGAAGAACTGACAAGGTACATGAATCAACTTTTTTGCAAAGTATGGTCGGTGGAAAGGTTGCCCGATGAATGGAACCTAAGTGTACTCTCAAGAGCCATCCAACAGTCTGGGTCAATTACAGTGTTATAAGCCCCATGAATATCGCATATAAAGTCCTATCGAGCATGTTGTGTGATTGGACCTTATCAATATGGCTTTAGACCTGATAATTAACCATTGACCAGTTATTCACAATTCGCCAATTTTGGAAAAAACCGTGGAAAAGGTGATCGATACACCCCATCTCTTTGTCGATTTTAAAGCAGCCTCCGACAGTACGAAAAGGAGCTGCCTCTACGTCGCTATGTCTGAATTTGGTATACCCGAAAAACTAATGCGGCTACGTAAACTGATCTTGAGCTACACCAAAAGCTGCGTTAGTATCAGGAAGGACAGAGGTTCGAGCATGAACGATGACAACATATGATGAGTCGCCGTGAGAAGTTTTCGCAACCGATAGAATGATGAGTGGTACGCAATAGACGACTAGATTGACATAGTTCAGCGGAATAACGAACAGCGGCTACGCTATAATCGCTTAAACGGTATCTACGCTAGAATATAAGAAGAAGAAGAGGAGTGATACCCCTCAGAAAGTCAGGGTTCGACTGCTGGTCCGACTAATATCCAAAATTTTAGAAAATTCTTTTCTCTAATTGCGGTCGCCACTCGGCAGGGAATGTCCAGACCTCCGGGTGTATTTCTGATATGAAATAAAAAAGCTTCTCATCAAAATCCGTCGGCCCTTGGGAGGCGACATTAACTAAATTGTAGGTTTTGTTGGTAAAGCATCTAACAAAAATACATATGTATACATTTATGTTGGGAACATTTCGCCGTTTCAAGCTATGAGCATTACTTTTGACAATATTTTCCCTTACAATCGGAAGATACGAAGAAGAGTTTTATCCCAAGAGATGATAACGTGCAAACTTTCAAGTTGTTTCAAAACTTTTTAAATGCTTAAAAGCTCTAACCGCTTTGAGATTATTCACAACTGGATGCTGTCAACGTTCAGTTGGAGAGCAATGGAGGATATCTAAGTACCAGGCGGATAATCTATGTATTGCTCAATATACCCAATAAAACGTACGATGTTCTTCGTAAGGTTACAGCTGCTGTAATCCAAATAGAACTACAAGCTGTGAGAGAATTTTTTTTTTCATCATTCTTCCCATTTTTGGGAGGCACTATTGGGGTTATCGACCGTATTTATGCGTCAATCATGAGCACCAAAAATCATTAAAAAACCCTATGTTAACCCTCACAATCTTCCTCATATTATTTATAAACGACCTTCCAAATGTGGTTCTTCGTTCTAAAACACTCATGTACGCAGATGATGTCTAGCTCTTTAAATCAGTTCATTCTATTGAAGATATAGTACTTTTGCAATTTGACCTAAGGAAAATAGTTAGTTGGTGTGATACAAACTGTATGGCCCTAAATTTAAATAGATGCAAATGTTTGTATTTCTCCAGAAAATCATTCCGATCCTTTGCCTCTATGATATATAAACACCATGCCCAAAAAGTTACTGACTAGATTTAGATTTTAGAAATCATATAAATTCTTTTGCTAATGAGGCAAACGTCGTCTTAGCTCAAATTTATTGTTAGACTAAGGAGTTCAATGACCTGTATATTATCAAATTACTCTTTATTTCACTCCTTAGGCGAATTTTGGAATATGGCTCAGTAGTATGGAGTCCACGGTAGCAATTGTATGGTGATAAATCCTACAAAAGTCGTTTACGGCTCATTTATCTCCCTACACACGATAGTCATAGAAGTTGCTTGGAGTTTTATTTTTAACTAAAAACAATTTCTACTTAGCGAGCTTTCTTCTACCATACACTTACAGGCCTATTCTCACTGTTACCGGTAAAGTAAATTTTGTTACTTTTTTTTAACACCCGGAATTGAATTTGATATTCTGGCGAACTGGTTATTACAATGTTTGAAAAATCTTGGGCGGCACCGCCTTTTTCGGCCTTGTCAAATTACATTCACATCGAAATGGAAGACGGTGCACTTCCAAATAAATAGGTTTTATGTGTTTATTAAATCGTAATTGAATCTAATTTTGGAAAATATGCCTTAACGACAAACAAAAATCGCTGAATAAAAACGCTATCTTCCAAATTAAAAGAGCCATTTTTTTACTCGCAAGCTTCTTCACTTCACTTTTTCTTCATCTTCAATGAATTCCAGGCTTAAAATATGCCTACCCATTTTGGTTTTTATTTTTTCTCAAACTAACAACACAAACTCATACAGCAGATTGTTTTGTTACTTCCTATTTCGCTGGTAACAAAATTTACAGGGTGACTGTGAGCTCAGAATACGAAATAGTAACAAAATTTACTAAATAGTAAGTTTTAATACCAAAGTAAATTTTGTTACCTCGATTCAATTGTATTCGTGCAGAAAAAGCTTTGAAATTCGCGTTCCTTTTAACTGTTTGTGCAACGACTTTGACATAAATTCCGCCAGTATTTATTCTTCTAGCTCGTTTTTCTTTATCCAACCCTACTAACCAAGACTTTAAATAATTAAGTAGTTTTCTTTCGCGATCGGTCTCCGGTTCAGGACAGTGTGAATTTGTCACTGTTTGCAAAATTTTGGTTTTAATTGCTAAATATCCAGGAGGGCAACAGGATTCTTTTATTTCGAGCGAAGAGTCTTGCGGTGTAGTTTTGACAGTGGAAATTCTTGATATTTATTTTGTATTGATATAAGCACGAATTTTAGTTTTAAAAACTATGACCTGTTTTCACTTATCGTATGGAATACGAGATGTATGTTTCCTATACATATGTATGTGAGCAAATGTATGTACATATACAATATATGCAGCCAATATACCTACATTACTTTACTAAAAGCAATTGAGTGAACTGCACGCAAAATGAAACAAGCTGTAATTTTTTTTTCTTCTTTTTTCTCTTCCTCTCATTATATGATATATAATTGGCGATTTGTAGCCGCTGCAGCGATTTTCGGCCGGGCTCCTATATCATTAAGTGCAAGTATAAATTGATACGAAATCAAGAATTGGCTGCAGAACGGCATTTTTGGTCTTCCTCTTCCTGTTTTCACCAGCGGGTACTGCATCGTCGAATACTTTCAAAGTTGGAGTGATTTCATCCATTCGAAAGAGATGACTTAGGCAACGTCTACACTGTCTCTTAACTCGCCGAATGTGGTCAATGTCTCCTACTGCTTTTTGTTACATTATCAGTGGTAGACGTTGCCGGCCATAAACAGAGTACGACAAATCTTCCACAGAAACTTTCTCTCAAAAACTCCTAACACTCACTCAACAGATGTTGTCATACCTCTCAGGATAGAAATAATGAGCAACTAAAAGGATTAAGTCTTTGTTCGTCGAGGTGGGTTTTTACTTTTCATATGTCTCTTACTGCGGAGAAACACTTGTCGGCAAGAGCAATTCTGTAAACAAAATTCAAAACTGTAATTGTTCACGGTATTTATACTGATCTCTGCATAATCTAAGTTATCAACTATGAGCTCAGCTTCTTACTTATGTCGACCCATTTCCCACAGTTCTATTTAAAGATTTTACAAATATCTAGAGAGTGTTGGATCTATCTGCACTGGTAAGGTCCTTTCAGTTTGTTGACAGTGGGCTTTACTTTTTCGCGCATTATACCTTATATGCGATATGCAAAAGATTTATCCCACGATTGATGAGGAATTCCTCCTCTAATGTATAGGGAAGAGCCCACTTGAGTTCTAATTATCGAATATGCTTTTAGCTGAGCACATTATACAGAGAAATAGTTACGTGCGAAAACTTCTCGACGCTATACTTGAACGGCTCAACTGGTAAGTCAATGGCCCCCGCAGCATTTTTATTCTGCAAACAGATAATCGCACTATTTAAACAGTCAGGTACTGGTAATCTAATTCGACTCATTTTTTTAACAAAAGGTTTTTCAATTAGACGTGTTATTTTCAATAGTCAGCTTTTTCGGTAGATGTCGCGTTCGAAGCACCTCATTACACCGTAATTTACACAAACATTTGGTTCTTTAGGCTTAAAAGGTTGAGTTAACACAAGAATTCAAACCGGCCAATCATCAACAACGTCGTGTCTTTGCTGATTTGGTCTTTAAAAGGCATGAAAATGATCCGAAATTTCATCGAAAAATCATGCTGACTGATTAGGCCACCTCGACGGCTGCGTCTTGTGATGCTCGTAAAACCCAAGATTTATTGTTGAAAAGCTTCTTCATTCTCAAGGTGTAACTGTTTGGTGCGGTTTTCGGTCCGACGGCGTCATTGAACCTTACTTTTTCGAAAATGAAGCCGGCACAACAGTTACTGTGAATGGATTGCGCTAACAAAAGATGATCAATGATTTTTTGTGGTCGAAATTTGATGATATTGACATAAACAGTATTTACTTTCAACGAGATGCCGCAAAAGCAACGAAGGCATCGATTATCGATCACTCGAAGAGGTGATCGCAATTACCCACCGAGATCTTGTGGTTCAACACCATGTCACTTTTTCATTTTGGAGCCACGCTAACGATAAGCTCTACGCCAATAGGACAACGTCGATTGATTGAAGACCTCAAAGATGAAATTCGTGAGGCTGTTGTGGGCATACAGCAGCCACTTTGCGATTTGATGATGGAAAATTGCATAAAAAGGATACGATTCTGTAAGTGTAGTCGTGGGCGCTATTTGGCTTATATTGTTTTCTATTGTTAATGGCATATCTTCCTATTTATATTTAAAGAAATATACGATTTTTTATTTGAAAAAAATTCCACGTTTCTTGGTTTTATATTAAAAAAAAATCAATCAAAATTCTTGCTGGAAAATCCTTTTTAATTTTTGGACATTTCAGATATTTAAAAGAAATTTGGCATTTAGGTGATATTTTTGTTGACTACATTTTTTACATTTACTTGTATCGAAATTCGAGATTAATGTACTCGTGTTTCACTAGCTTACCTTGTAAACAGCATAGGATGCCTAATAGCAGCAGTGTACGTTCCTTCAGTGGTGACATTTTTCTATGCAATGCAATAATCGATTTAATCACAACAACAACGAGAGTAACAAAAATACTTTTGGAGAGGAATATAAAACGTTTGTTATACTACACTTCGGTTTTAGTTTTAAATCTTTTGCTTTGCTTTTCGAAATCGCCGCTGGCACTTTCAGTTCGATTTGTTAATTTTACTCACTTAGCGCCTGTGTTTCACAAAATTCTCGTTTATTCTCCTGTTTATTACTCGTCACTATTTCTGTTCGCTATGATTTGTTGTTGTTGTTTGTTCTTTATTGTTTGCTTAAAATGCAATGTTCGACTGTGGACAGCGGAATTTATTTATATTAATTTGTTTTTTTTTTCACTTCAAAATTAAATCACAAATCGGGGCTTGTCACGCACGCACACGCACACAGGTACAATGTTAGACTCTTTGCCACGCTGGCTGAACTGACTTTTCTGCTGCCAATAATTGTCACCAATTCACTGTTACTCGGACTTTTCACGCTTGCTTGCTTGCTGACGGACTAGCTGATTGATTGTTTGACGATCTGTTATGCCGACATCTCGCACTGGACTGCAATGATTGTGAAGAAATGAAAGAAAATAATCGGTTAAGTCACTTACGAAGAGAGGCACAGAAAATGTTCATGTACAAATGTACGAGTGTGTTCGAGTGCACACGTACGTACATATGTAAAATGTTGCGAAAAGTAGGAAAATCTATATTTGTGTAAGAACTTTGGCAATCGGCGGAAATTCAAACGTCAGCGATGACAACGGTTTTTCAAAGTGCATTTGTGTGAGCGTAGGCGGAGATGGATGTATTGGTGGCAGTGGGTGCTGAAGCGCAGCGGAGCAGGGCACACACTAACACATAAATGCACAGTTTTGCAGTTGGACAAGAGGGAAACGTGCGCCCATTATGACACATTTACAATACATATGTACTCACAGCGTTGACTTTTCAAACATTTGTGCAACATTGTTGTAGTTGTTGTTGCACATTTAGATTAACAATTGCTGACTGACGCCAGCAAACTAACCCAAAATTTTGTGGCACAAAAGTAATTGGCCTAATCCACTTTCCTTGTGCGATGCGGTCGCGGTTGTGGCCATTATTTTCGCAAATGCGGAGCACGACTGACATGCATACATACATAATTGTACTATGGTGGTAGAGTGTTCGCTAAGAATGAAAAATGTTCATTTTCTTTTAATAAATTAAAATTTAATAAAAAAATTAAAAAACATAAAATAAAATAAAATAAAAAAAAGAGAACAAGCAAATTAAACTAAATAAATTAAAATAAAATACAATAACAAAAAATAAAATATAATCAAAACAAAATAAAATTAAATAAATAAAATATAATAATGTATTTTAAAAACCAAAATGAAATATAAAGTAAAATATAATAAAACTGAATTAACTTAAATACAACAAAATATTATTAAACAAAAATAAATAAAAGAAAATATAAAATAAAATAAAACAAAATACATAAAATAAAAATAAATTAATTAAAAATAAAATTAAAACAACTAAAACAAAAAATAGAGTAAAAAAATTAAAAATAATAAAATAAAATTGTATATACCAAAGCAAAATAAAATGTAATAAAATAAAAAAAGAACAAAGCAAAATAAAATGTAAAAAATAAAATTAAATGAAATAGCATAAAAAACTAAATAAAATAAAACTAAGTAAAATAATTTAAAATAAAACAAAATGATTTATTTAAAATAAATATAAAATGAAGTTATGAAATAAAATATACTAAAATAAAACATAATAAAATTAATTAAAAACTAGAAAATTAAATTAAGCGAAAAATAACAAAATAAAGTAAAATGAGATAAAATGAAATATAACAAAATATATTAAAAAATAAGACAGTATAAAACAAAATTAAATTAAATTAAATAAAGTAAAATAAAATAAATTAGAATAATATATTATTAAAAAAAGTAAAACTAAACTAAATTAAATCAAATATATTGGAAAAAATTTAAAGTAAAATAAACTGAAATAAAACAAAATAAAATTAAAAAAAATTAATAATTAAAAGAAAACGGATTAAAATAACATAAAGTAAAATATAATGAAACAAAATAAGGCAGCATAAAATAAAATTCAATTAAAATGAATAAAACAAAGTAAAATAAGATAAAGTAAAATAAATTAAGTAAAATAAACTAAAGTAAATTAATTTTATTAAAATAAAGTAAAACAAAATTAAGTTAAAAATACTGGAAAAAAATGTAAAATGTAATTAAAATAAATTATATAACAAAAAATCATTTAAAATAATGTAAAATAATAAAAAATATAAGCTAATATAACATAATATAAAATGAAATATATAGAAAAATTAAATTAAATAAAACAACACAAAATGAAATAAAAATTAATAATAAAAGTGAAAACAATTAAAGTTATATTGAATATACCAACTAAAATGAAATAAAATTACATAAAATTTAAATTAAGATGAAATAAAATAAAATACAATACAAAATTATTTAAATTTAAATTGAATTTAAGTAAATTGAATTCTATTAAAATAAAATAGTTTCAATCAAATAAAACAAAACAAAATAATTTAATCAAATAAAAATAAAATAAATTTGCTAAATAATTTAACATAAAATATAATACAATCGAATGAAATGAAATAAAATTAAATAAAAAATAACATGAACGGAAACAAAATATTTTAAAATAAATAAGCTACATAAAAAATAAACAAATTGAGTAAATTCATACAAAATTAACTAATATAAAACTAATTTAATTAAAGCAAAATGGAACAAATTATGGGGAAATAATATAAAATAAAGAAATATAGTAAACAACAAAGTAAAATAGAACATAATTATATTAACTAGAATAAACTAAAAAATTAAATAAAAAGAAACTAAGACGAAATAGGGTAAATTTAATTAAAATAAAATAAAATATATTACAACAAAATAAAGTAAGTAGTAGGACAGCAAAGAAATTTAATTTTTTTAATAAAATTTTTATAATAATAATTTTTAATAATATTTTATACATAATTTTCGAAAAATAAGAAAAAAAATATTTTTTAGCCACCACGCTAAAGTGCATATATAAATTTATAAATTCGCATATATAAATTTGTATATTCGAGCATGTGTTTCTCATTTCCTACTTTTGCTTGTGCCCTTTTTTTTGCAAAATTTATTTTCAATTTGTACTTGATTTATATTGAACAAGCGCTGCTGTTGTTATTTTTAGTTGATTGCACTTTGTAAATTTTGCGCAAGCACATACACGTACATACATATATATGCGATATATGTATGCAGTATAGCTGTTCCCACGTTTTTACATATGTATATATATCTATTAGACTCATTGTAACTTTTAGTCGAAGAATGCTACGATAATTTTTCATTATACACATAAATATTTTTGTTTGCAAAATTTACATTTACATTCACACATACATATGTACAGCTGCAATTTTGACATACTTCTCATACTCAAATGCGCACTCTCACGACACTCTCTTCATGTTGTAAACATCAATTTGAATTTGCAATGCTTGCACATGAGCTCACTCTCAACGAAAATTTTCTCTATGCACCGGTATAAAGGGGAAGGGAATAAAAAAAAAAGATATGATGTGATGATGTATTGTTGATATGCTCATGAATGTGTATCTCACGAATTGCTCACGTTGCGCAGGAACGTTTTCCTGCAACTGCTGTGCTTGCATTTTATATAATCTTCCGCTACCACAAAGGCAAAGACAATGCACAGACTTGCTGGCATATATATGTATGTATATATGCGCATATGTATGTATGTATGTGTGTTGATATATTGTACATGTTTACGTAAGTAGTTTTGTGGAAAAGCGGTGGTCGCGTGCTCAATTGTAAGAGCATTTCTGAAGAGGAAATGGTTTTGGCAGCATTTGATGGCTCAATGGGCGTTTATCGAATTCACGTTGTTATGCAGTATATATGTATGTATGTATGTGCATATGTATGAAACATTTGTGGTATGTATGCATAATAGCATCGACATAATATATTAATGCCGCTGTGAATTCAAATAAGAAAATATTTCAAAATGAATTTGATTGATGGAAAATGATAATCGCATTATATGTTGTGAGTTCATTAGGCAATGAGACATGAATACGTTTTCATTTTAAAGCTTTAAAGAGAGCAAAGCATGTAGTTTAATTTAGGACAATATGCGATGAAATTTAAATTTTTTTATTATTTATTATATTATTGCTAAGGTAAGAAAACAAATTAAACCGTTGTGCGATTTCAAGCTGGACAAGTTTAAGGAAGAAAATTTAGAAAGTTTGCCAAAGCCAAGTTTGTTACAATAAACCATAAATAACCTGCCGTAAAGTTTTTGCATTTAACTCAAAGAACGAGGAATTTTCAATGTTGAAAAGGTCAAAAGAGTTCGCATATGTAAGTATGAATGTAAAATAAAATAAAAGTTTCAATGTTTGTTTCAAAGTTTATATTTTATGCTGAAGCTGCCTATTGAGGGATACAATTTTGCTACCAAAATTTGCAAATATTTTAAAATGATATTCCCGCAATTAGAAAAATGCACGAAGCCAATCCTTTTAAAATTATTTTGAATCACTTTATATAAAATCAATGATCACGAATCGTGTTCAAGAAACGGCTCAAGCGATCGATCGTACAGTTTCACACAATTCTTTTAAATATAACGCTCAGGTATTGAACGAAGGAATGGAATTTGAAATATTTTATTACTGGTTTCTCCAATTTTTTTAATCAATTTGGAGTGAGTTTATGTCGAAAACGATTTTTTGTTTCAAATAAAAGCCATTGTCAAGGAGTAACATTTTTTATTCTCTTTGATTAATGCTTTCAATGGAAGCACTGAATTCTCACGACTACGAAAATATAGACAGCACATTATCCAGCTTTGTTTTTTAAATCCAGACAAGACAAAACTCTTCAATCCATAAGAACTAAATAAGTTATTATTGAATAAAAAATTTTTCTTCAACTTACTGAAATGGGACACAACTCAAATACAAATTTTGAAATGCAAAAATTTCAACATAAAAATTATGTATTTTATGTTTGAAAATATACTCTTTTATGCGTAATATTTATTTGTGTGAAAGACAATGAGATTTTAGAAAAAAGTAACAAAAAATCGCACGCTTTTTATCTCACTTTTTTGATTGGATTCATTACACTACCGTTTGAAAAAAGCCAACATATTTTTGAATTCCGACCTCAACCTTTCAGGATGATTCTACCTCGAAGAAAATTTGTTTTACTATTATTTTCTGCTTTGTTTTTTGACATCACATTTTCCTGACATGGTTTATATGAAATGGAACCAAGTGCACAAGAATCTATCCCATTGCAAACACTCAACAGGCATTGTACTTAGTAAGCATTCCGATTGAAGTTTTCATTGCATTATCATCACTCATACGCCCCGACAAATCGATTTCTTAACTACGATATTTTGGGAGATTTCTTGAAGTTAATTCACTACAATTAATTAATAATTTTTATTAATTTTCATAG